GATACATACATCAATTTTTTCTAGTGATAGATACACAATTTTCTCGTTCTGTTTTTTATATTAAATAAAGTGTATAAGACAAAGGCAAATTGGATTTCGGGGCATTTATTTTTGATTACTGGTCACTGAAGAGAAACCAAATCAGCATTTTGGTTTGAAACATAATTTGGTCCTTCGAGCCGGATGCTCAAGGAATCCAGGTTGCTTCTGTATACACCACCGTAAATTTCGACTATCAATTGGCGTCTTACTTGGAGGCGCACAAGTATCTGGAATTACATAATCTTCATTGAAGACACACAAGAGTGTCTGTAATCGCATCATCGTAATTGAAAGCACGAGATTGTGTCACAAGCAACATCTTATTTGGAGACACACAAGGGTGTCTAAAATTGCAACACAAATTGGAGACTCGTTCGGAGTAATAAGCACAATTTTCGGAGTACTATTCAATACATCTGGCAGCAATTGTATGTTGCAGTCACAATAGCCGTCGTACATTGACGACAACTGACATTTGCCACAAGTAGAACATAGTAGAAACGTCAACATAAGTAAAAAACAACCACCACAAAATGGATTCATTTAAAAAACAACGTCAAGTAATCAAAAGCAGTCTGACACGAATTCAAAGTATTTGTGCAGATACAAATACGACAATTGACGATTTAAAAGTGCGTATAGAGCGCGCTGAAGAATTATTCAAGCAATACGGCGATATTCAGAATGAAATCGATCTTCTTACAACAACGGCTAGCGAGCTTGAGCAAGAGGACGAGTATCGGGCCGCAATTGAAGAAAAGTATTTTACAATTAAAGGAAGCTATTCACGTGCGCAAGTAGAGGATGGTAATGCGACAATTATCGAGAATCAGCAATCTCCAAGAGATATTTCGACAGCAATGCAAGCATTAATGGAGCATCAGGGCACCATGGGCGCGTTAATTGAACGCATTTCACAAAACGTAAGCAGTGATTGTAGATCTTCGTCATCACCAGCCAACACAATAAACAATTTGCAACAGCTGCCACAACAAGAGCTTCGATTGCCACGAATATAAATTCCTGACTTCGATGGCAAGTGCATCGAGTGGATGCGATTCCGCGATCTATTCGAAGCCATGGTTCACAACAAAACTAACATTTCAAATGTTGAGAAATTGGAATATTTGCAAACGAAGGTAAAGGGTGATGCACTGTCACTCATAAAGCATTTGCAACCAGCAAATGCAAATTATGAAATCGCTTGGCAACTATTGAAGAAAAAATATGACAAACCTGACAATATAAAAAATGCTTATTTTGAAATTTTGTTTGATCAACCTGTGATGAAAATTTCATCAGTTTCTGAAGCAAAACGTTTGTATAACACAACCAACGAAACCATAAACGCACTAAGGGTGCTCAAAGAGCCAGTAGAGCACTGGGATTCAATTTTACTTTTTATACTTGAGAAAAAACTAGATTCTGAAACTCATACTTTGTGGTATCGAGATAGAAAGTCGGACGAATCGACAACTATACAACATTTTTTAAATTTTTTGGAAAAGCGTGTATTTGAACTCGAAAATACATCTAAGGGCACAAACCACCAATCACATCAGAGTTACAATAAGCAAAAACAATCACGCACCTTTACTACTGTTATGCAGGCATGCCCTGTTTGTTCTTCGAATCATCCACTATACAACTGCAGTAAATTTAAGGAACTCAACGTAGAAGCAAGGCGAAAGGTTGTCCAGCAAGGCAACATGTGTTTTAATTGTTTGCAAGCAAATCAACAGGCTGTGAATTGCAAACGATCATTTTGTCGTAAATGCAACGGTAAGCACAACACGCTTCTGCACTTAGATCGGTCGTCGACAGAGAAGCAACAAACAAGTGCATCTCAACCACCAATGCGAAGTGATGAATCTACAAGCATTAGTGTGAACAGTTTGCAAAGTCCACAGTCAATCACGTTGCTCCCAACTGCTTTGGTGGTGGTTGAGGATGCGACTGGTTCACTGCAGCAATGTCGCGCCTTGCTGGATTCGGGATCACAAGGCACACTTATTTCTGCAGCATGCGTGCAACGTCTTCAACTAAAACCCAAATACGACAACACTATTCTCTATGGAGTAGGAGCAACGGATGGAAGTCGCTCAAAAGGAAAAGTGTACATAAGCATTCATGCACTTCAAGGCAAGACCATCTCAACAGAGGAACTTTGTTTATCAAATCTAACACGGAACTTACCTTCACATAAGGTCTCTAGCCAGACCACAGAGTTTTTTAAGCATTTGGAATTGGCTGACCCGTACTACGATAAGCCAGGTCGCATTGACCTTATTCTCGGAGCAGATGTTCTAGCCGATTGCATCTTACCAAGCATTATACCGCACCCCAGTGGCTCACCATCGGCAATGCACACAATTTTTGGATAGGTTTTGATCGGTAGGCTGTCATCCGAGAACGAACAACATATCATTACCGCGCATACACTCATGGAGATTAGCCAACAGCTGCAACAATTCTGGGAGATTGAGGACGTTAAGGGCCCGCTTCAGCATCTCACCCCTGATGAGTTAGCAGCTGAAAATCATTATAAACAATTTGTTAAGCGAGACAAGTCTGGAAGATATGTAGTTAAACTTCCATTGAAAAACGAACCGCAACTCGGTGAGTCACGTACCAACGCTCTAAAACGTTTTTAAGCTATGGAACGACGTTTTCATAATAATGCTCAGCTCAAGCAAGAACACCAAAAATTTATGTTCGATTATATCACGTTGGGCCACATGGAGCCGGCTGGTAATTTCGATCCAAAACGTACGTATTTTTTACCGCATCACGCAGTGCTAAAGCCTAACAGCACAACAACTAAGCTGAGGGTTGTTTTTGATGGGTCATGTAGGACTACAAATGGACTCTCGCTCAACGACCAGTTGCTCGTGGGACCCACAATTCAGAGAGATCTATTTGACATTATTTTAAATTTTCGCAAGTACAAGTTGGGATTTACAGGGGATATAGAGAAGATGTATCGCCAGATCTTGGTGGACCCTGACGACCAATCACTGCAGCGTATACTTTGGCGGAGGTCAAACGATGAACCCATAAAAGAATATAATCTCAAGACTGTAACCTATGGAACGTCAGCTGCGCCATTCCTCGCAACTAGAACCTTGAAGCAAATCGCCAATGACAACGCCAATGCGCATCCGAAAGCATCTGAAGCAATTTCACAGTATTTCTACGTAGACGATTTTATGGCAAGCGCTACCGACGAAGCTACTGCGATTCAGCTTAAAGAAGAGATTTGCGCCCTGTTGTTTGATGCTGGGTTACATCTGCGCAAGTGGTCTTCAAATTCAGCAACCTTCTTGGAAAGTATTCCAAGTGAGGATCGAGAGGTTCAATCTGATACCTGTATAGACTCTACATGCACAGTAAAGACACTGGGACTCTTATGGGATACATCGACCGATAGTTTTAAATACAGCGTTTGTTTGCCATCAAACCAACATACAACCAAGCGAAGTGTTTTATCGGATTTAGCTAGGGTATTTGATCCCATCGGATGGTTGTCGCCAGTGGTTATATCAATGAAGATATTCATGCAAAAACTGTGGTTGAGAGGAATAGGATGGGACGAGGCATTACCGCACGACCTTTACACTCAATGGGTTGAGTATCGAGAAAGCATCAACCGCATATTACAGTTACATATTCCCCGGTGGATACGTTACTCCAATGAGAAGCTCGTACAACTACATGGATTTGCAGACTCCTCGGAGCTGGCATACGCAGCAACTATATACATTAGAGTTCACCATGAAAATGGGCAAATATCAACAAATTTAATAGCTGCCAAGACGCGTGTGGCTCCAGTTAAACAAATCACACTACCAAGGCTTGAGCTATGTGGTTCACATCTTATGACGAAATTAATGACTAAAGTACAAAATGCGCTGGAATTGTCAAAGGCTGAAACCTTTGGATGGACGGATTCCACAATAGTGTTGGCATGGTTAAGGGATCATCCTCGCCGTTGGAAAACATTCATAGCGAATCGAACTGCGGAAATATTAAAAGTTGTTCCGTCTGAGCGTTGGAGACACATTCCTTCTCAGCACAATCCTGCAGATCTTGCCACAAGGGGATTGTGTCCTCAAGAACTTCTATCTAACGAGATTTGGTGGCATGGTCCAGGTGAACTAAAAGACATTCCAGAGACGTGTCATTTAGTGCCTCCTCTGGAAGATGACATAACACAGGAAGAACGGAAAAGCACGGTTGCACTTGCAAGCGTAACAACTGAGGTTTCGGTGATAGAGCGCTACTCCTGTTATACACGACTGCTGCGAATCACATCACTTCTTTTGCGATTTGTCAACAACTGCAAAGCTAAGTGCATTAATAGCAAAGGTAATAATCAATCCATTACAACCAGTGAACTACGCACGGCGCATGATGTCCTGGTTAGATCAGCACAAGCAGGATCTTACACATTCGAGTTACGAACTATCGGTCAAGGTAGGCAGTTACCATCTTCACATAAGTTGGCACCACTTGCTCCATTTATTGACGAACAAGGATTGCTCCGCGTAGGTGACAGAGTTACCAACGCGAAAATCAATTATAATCAGAAACATCCATTCATAATGGACAAAACTCACCCGTTAACTAAACTAATTGTACGTGACTATCACATACGTTACTTGCATGCCGGACATAGGCAATTACATTATCTCTTGGCTCTTAAGTACTGGATTCCAGGAGTCACATATGTTATCAAGCAGTGCATCTTTAAATGTACAGTATGCATGAGACACCGCGGCATTTCCTACCAACAACAAATGGGTGACATACCAAAATATCGTTTGGATCCAGGATCACCTTTCCTCAACACGGGGATCGATTTTGCTGGGCCGATACAGGTACGTTCTTGGAAGGGACGTGGCTCTAAACTGTATAAATGCTGGATAGCACTTTTTATTTGCTTGACCACCAAGGCAATACATATTGAGCTGGTGACTGAATTGTCTACAGCGGCTTTCATTGCATCACTACGAAGATTCACTGCGCGGCGCGGAAAACCATTACATATATTCTCAGACAATGGTACCAACTTTGTGGGTGCTAATCAACATTTGCGGGAACTATACCAATACATAAATGATTCGACAACACAGGAAACCATTTCAAGAGCGTCAGCTGAGCAAGAAATTCAGTGGCATTTCTCCCCACCTGCAGGACCCCACTTCGGCGGCATATGGGAAGCAGGCGTCAAGTCAGTCAAGTATCACTTAAAACGAACATTGGCTGATGCGTCCGTTACATATGAGGAGTTGAACACTATTCTCTGTCAAATTGAAGGATGTCTCAACTCACGCCCACTATGTACCAAATTTGAAGGCGATATCGATCCCTTGACTCCAGCACATTTCCTGATTATGCGCCCAATGACTTCTCTGCCAGACAAAAACCTCCTCAACCTAAAGGAAAATGCAGTAAATCGTTGGCAATACCTTCAGAAGCTGACACAGCATTTTTGGAAAAGGTGGTCAATCGAATATGTAACACAATTGCAACAACGTCCCAAATGGTCTCAACGTTTGAGGAATCTAGAGATCAACGATGTGGTTATCATAAAGGACGACAACCTACCACCAACCCAATGGTCCATTGGAAAGATCTCAAAAGTGCATCCAGGATCCGATGGTTTAGTGCGAGTGGCGTCTGTAGACACTTTTAAGGGGACCCTAAAAAGACCCATTGTCAAACTTTGCCCACTGTTCATCGATATTTAAAAGCGGATGCTTTCAAGAGGGCCGGAATGTTGATGATACTATTTAAAATCACCCCTGGTGACTTGCCATTTCTGACATTTATATTTTTCTTATTTTACTCGCAACCAACTTCACTTACTTTTTGAATTACCAGATACATACATCAATTTTTTCTAGTGATAGATACACAATTTTCTCGTTCTGTTTTTTATATTAAATAAAGTGTATAAGACAAAGGCAAATTGGATTTCGGGGCATTTATTTTTGATTACTGGTCACTGAAGAGAAACCAAATCAGCATTTTGGTTTGAAACATAATTTGGTCCTTCGAGCCGGATGCTCAAGGAATCCAGGTTGCTTCTGTATACACCACCGTAAATTTCGACTATCAATTGGCGTCTTACTTGGAGGCGCACAAGTATCTGGAATTACATAATCTTCATTGAAGACACACAAGAGTGTCTGTAATCGCATCATCGTAATTGAAAGCACGAGATTGTGTCACAAGCAACATCTTATTTGGAGACACACAAGGGTGTCTAAAATTGCAACACAAATTGGAGACTCGTTCGGAGTAATAAGCACAATTTTCGGAGTACTATTCAATACATCTGGCAGCAATTGTATGTTGCAGTCACAATAGCCGTCGTACATTGACGACAACTGACATTTGCCACAAGTAGAACATAGTAGAAACGTCAACATAAGTAAAAAACAACCACCACAAAATGGATTCATTTAAAAAACAACGTCAAGTAATCAAAAGCAGTCTGACACGAATTCAAAGTATTTGTGCAGATACAAATACGACAATTGACGATTTAAAAGTGCGTATAGAGCGCGCTGAAGAATTATTCAAGCAATACGGCGATATTCAGAATGAAATCGATCTTCTTACAACAACGGCTAGCGAGCTTGAGCAAGAGGACGAGTATCGGGCCGCAATTGAAGAAAAGTATTTTACAATTAAAGGAAGCTATTCACGTGCGCAAGTAGAGGATGGTAATGCGACAATTATCGAGAATCAGCAATCTCCAAGAGATATTTCGACAGCAATGCAAGCATTAATGGAGCATCAGGGCACCATGGGCGCGTTAATTGAACGCATTTCACAAAACGTAAGCAGTGATTGTAGATCTTCGTCATCACCAGCCAACACAATAAACAATTTGCAACAGCTGCCACAACAAGAGCTTCGATTGCCACGAATATAAATTCCTGACTTCGATGGCAAGTGCATCGAGTGGATGCGATTCCGCGATCTATTCGAAGCCATGGTTCACAACAAAACTAACATTTCAAATGTTGAGAAATTGGAATATTTGCAAACGAAGGTAAAGGGTGATGCACTGTCACTCATAAAGCATTTGCAACCAGCAAATGCAAATTATGAAATCGCTTGGCAACTATTGAAGAAAAAATATGACAAACCTGACAATATAAAAAATGCTTATTTTGAAATTTTGTTTGATCAACCTGTGATGAAAATTTCATCAGTTTCTGAAGCAAAACGTTTGTATAACACAACCAACGAAACCATAAACGCACTAAGGGTGCTCAAAGAGCCAGTAGAGCACTGGGATTCAATTTTACTTTTTATACTTGAGAAAAAACTAGATTCTGAAACTCATACTTTGTGGTATCGAGATAGAAAGTCGGACGAATCGACAACTATACAACATTTTTTAAATTTTTTGGAAAAGCGTGTATTTGAACTCGAAAATACATCTAAGGGCACAAACCACCAATCACATCAGAGTTACAATAAGCAAAAACAATCACGCACCTTTACTACTGTTATGCAGGCATGCCCTGTTTGTTCTTCGAATCATCCACTATACAACTGCAGTAAATTTAAGGAACTCAACGTAGAAGCAAGGCGAAAGGTTGTCCAGCAAGGCAACATGTGTTTTAATTGTTTGCAAGCAAATCAACAGGCTGTGAATTGCAAACGATCATTTTGTCGTAAATGCAACGGTAAGCACAACACGCTTCTGCACTTAGATCGGTCGTCGACAGAGAAGCAACAAACAAGTGCATCTCAACCACCAATGCGAAGTGATGAATCTACAAGCATTAGTGTGAACAGTTTGCAAAGTCCACAGTCAATCACGTTGCTCCCAACTGCTTTGGTGGTGGTTGAGGATGCGACTGGTTCACTGCAGCAATGTCGCGCCTTGCTGGATTCGGGATCACAAGGCACACTTATTTCTGCAGCATGCGTGCAACGTCTTCAACTAAAACCCAAATACGACAACACTATTCTCTATGGAGTAGGAGCAACGGATGGAAGTCGCTCAAAAGGAAAAGTGTACATAAGCATTCATGCACTTCAAGGCAAGACCATCTCAACAGAGGAACTTTGTTTATCAAATCTAACACGGAACTTACCTTCACATAAGGTCTCTAGCCAGACCACAGAGTTTTTTAAGCATTTGGAATTGGCTGACCCGTACTACGATAAGCCAGGTCGCATTGACCTTATTCTCGGAGCAGATGTTCTAGCCGATTGCATCTTACCAAGCATTATACCGCACCCCAGTGGCTCACCATCGGCAATGCACACAATTTTTGGAT